CAAAGCCCCTCACAAGCGGCTTCCTTCTCTACAAACTTCTCTTCGAACTTCTCTTCGAATGATGTATCACAATAGTGATTCGCTCCATTATTGTTTCAACGGGGCTCTCCCGTTCCACCGAGAGAGCCAAGTCTTCCTACGCTCGAGCCCATCTCTCTAGGCTAGGCTCACTAGCCCACTAGGCTCACTAGCCTAAGTCACACACTACTAGGCTCACTAGCCTAGCTCACAGTCACACTCAATCTTAGCCTTCGATATCCTCATCTACGGCTTACATCGACGGCCGCTCTCACTGACCGCCTAACCTCCAATCCGCCTAACGGTTCAAACTTCCAACCGCCGTTCACACACGCCGGCGCTCACTAGTTCAAACCCTGATCCGGGCCGAACCCTAACACACAGTAATTCGGCTGACTATATAATCACCGAATTCTAACACTTCCACTCAGACGAATTACTCTAAGCCTCTAACTCGTCGTGCTTCTCTTGCAGGCTGTCTTCTTCGCCCTCGGCGTCACCCACACGCCTCCACTATCCCCACCCTAACTGTCTTGGTAGCGCACTGCGTCCCTTTTCTCCAGTTCGACGTCTTCTCCACACCGTGCTCCGGCTCTTCGGCTCCCACAGCTTTCGTTGCTGCTTCCACATTTGCCCGATACCACAAAAGTTCCCCACTCTCGTTCGACGCCCCCATTCTCGTCGTCCGACTCGTCTAGTTCAATCTCCACGACCTTGATCATCTTTTTCACCACGCTTTCCGCTCTTACCCGCCTCTTTGCCGTGGCGCACACCCGGTTCCCCTTGACGGGACCCCTCGCAAGGAACGCTTTCTGCTTCCCCACGGTCCTCCACGCTTCACTGCCTCCATGCAGACCACATTGTCCATTTCGACCTGCGCGGTTCTCCCTCGAGCACCACTCGTGCTCCCGTTTTGTTCGCTCTCGTCAGAGCGAACAAACTCGCTTGTGACCTCAGAGCGTGCCGGACCTCCCTCAAGATTACCGTACTCACACCACTCGGGGTCTTCTTAAGCACTCTCCAATGCCCACTGCAATCAGAATCTCGCCACAGTTTCCCACGATTTTCTCGCGATGCACGAGCTCTTTGTAGCTCGTGAAATGGCTCCAATCGCCCGTTTCATGCTGAGTGCTGCCCGAGTCGACAATCCAAATCCCATTGCGCACTTCCTCGTCATCGCCTTTTACCGCGTCTTTTCTTTCTTACATGCTCATTCATGCACGTCATTCTCGTGTAGATATTTCGACAAGCTTCGAGCAGAATCACGTTACAAGAAGCATACGGCAGCCGCATGTACTTTTTATTTGTTTCCTCGTTTGTTTGCTTGCATGTAGGTTATTTAAAAGGCGACTCACACCCCGTGCATTCGCTCTCGCTCTCATGTGTGCAAGAAACATAAGCCAAGAACAATTATGCATCCACGCAAGTGCCGCGGAGATTCGTAGCTCCTAGCTAGACGAGTTAGAAAAGGCAATATAGACCAAAATACATTGAGAATAGACTTGAACGTGACTTTTGGTATAAGAAGGAACAAGACACGTCGACTTAGGCCTTCGTCAAAATCGGATATTCAATTGCAATTGCCCTCAGTGCAATCGAGCATCCATTCCGTAATCACCTTTTTGCCCTCAAGCGTTCCTCACCGGTCACATGTTCCAGCGCCGTTCTTAAGGAGGTTCTTGGTCGCTACGGAGCCGTGCCATACGTGCCCTGGCGAGGTTACCGTTCTATTTTGCCTCCATTTGAGACCTATTATCTCTCTCATCTTCTCCTATGCCTATCTATTCTACGTTGCCTACTCCTCCGTTGCTTTGCATCTGATTAATTGTCGTGACTGGGTTACATGCGCATCGCCTGTTGAAATCATTCACTCATGCTTGTCACAAGCTAGGGTCTAACCACCCTCACACATAAGCGCCTTTCAATACAAAGAAGCGCCTTCCTCCTCTCTTCAAGCATCTTTGAGAATGAAAATCATCACATGACATTAGTCCAAAGTCGCTCCAATCCCGTAGCTAGATGTACTCTAGCCTAGGTCGGATCTACTTCTACCACCCACTTGTCGGTTCAACTATATGGACTCCTTTCCATCAAATCGGTCACTCTATTACTCACAATACGGCATATATTCCACTCGGACTTGTGACCGGGGCACTATACTACTAGTGGATGGTAGCACCGTACTACTAGTGGTCGGGGTACTATAATACTCGAGGTGTCACATCTAATGATCCACATTCCGAGTCAACACGCAATCGGATGCTCAACACTCAACGACACAAACTTCTAATTTTGCGGTCGATATTACACGACACAACCACAATCCTACGGTTGAGACTACACGACAAAAACTCACGATCTCACGGCTCAAATCTATCGAGCTTTACTCAACAATTTGGCCGTCAATCAACTTCGTTTCTCAGTAGTAGTCTTTTTGTGGGTGTTTGCTCTTCGGTTCCGTTGCCGAGATTGCCGGCTGTTTACATACCTTTTGAGGTAGAGTAGAGTCTTCATACATGCTTTACATGTGCGGGTGAGAGCTTGTAATATATAAGCTACGTGGTTTCAGCTCAAATCTAGCTCAAAAGGGGTACTTTGAGGTCACTCTTTTCTCTCGGCCAGTTTGTAAAGGAAGTAGTACAATAGGTTGTGGGAATTTTCACAACTGTGAAGGGGCTTTGGCCATTCTCGTCGCCATGGACTCTGGAACTCCTTGCAGCTCACTTCCGTTTCCGCCCTAGCACGCTACCTACGCTTTGTTTCCCTTAGGCAGAGTTTAAGCCGACTTCCGTGGGCTTAATCACTTGTGCTTCAAGATCCTTCATGCCGGTGGACTTGTGGACTTTTGAACGTGAAGAACGAGGTGTTCGGATGTTTTTGACCTAATAAAAAACCCTCTGGCTGTGGCGGATGCGAAATTCGTGCTCCAAATTGATCCGAAAGGAGTTCGTATGTCTATCCCGTCCACCGCTCAACCTCTATGCCAAAAGCTTGAATCTCTCCAAGAAATTTGAGTCCACTGATTTGGTTTTGGTGAGTGGGTTGTCCGCTTGGTGGTTCTTGAGAAAGTTTTTGAATCCTTGGTGTGTATTCTTTGAGCGATAGCTCAAAGCATGGGACTTCCGGATGAGCCGCAATACCCACCAACTCCAACGTTCAATGACACCATCCTCAAATGACGATACTTTTCTTGAGAAGCTGGAGAATCTAATGGCTCAAGCTCAAAATAACGTCCAGGGAAACTTGATCATATGTGAGCTTTCAGAAGAATCCCAAGCGGTGAGTCGTGTGCTTGACTACGGCATGCGAAGTGTGCCGCCTGCTGAGATTGTTTCGCCTTTTGTGCATACTATTAGGAGGGCAAAAGCCCATTCCCTTAGTGTTGCTGACCGCCATGCACATCTCTCTGATATGCAAGCTGTTCCAAACTTGTATATTCGACCGTTAGTTGAAATCATACACTCATGCTTGGAACCTACGAGGGATTAACCACCCTTACACACAAGCGCCTTCACAAAAAGAGCGCCCC